CAACAATGATACTAACGCAGGCGACGAATCACACTAATCATAACAAGGATACTACTACTGTTGGTAATAATAAAACTAATACCATAATAATATTGAGAACGATTTTTATAATACTAAGAAGACTGCTAACACTAATAATTGTAATATTCAGAAGACGGAAGCGACGAATAGTGTGGAGATTAAGTAGACAATTAATACGGCAAATACGACGAAACCAAGTGAACAGCAGACGAAACAAAAAAAACACGACACATAAGACGACTAATATTAACAGGGGGACTAATGAGAAGACGAAGGCGACTAAGAAGACGAGGAGGAGGAGGCGGAGGAGGAGGAGGATGAGGAGGAGGAGGAGGGAGGAGGGAGGAGGGAGCAGGAGCAGGAGCAAGAGCAACACAGGAGCAGGAACAGGAGTAGGGAGGAGGAGTAGGAATAGGATGAATAACAGGAATACAACGAACCATACTAATCAGAACAATCACTCGAGTACTAATAATGCTAAGAGGACGACTATAATTTAGTAGTAGTAGTCGTAAGCATCAGGAGAGTAAACATACTACGACACATGCAACGAATGATACTAATACGAGTAATGCTAATAACACCAAGACGAATAATAATAATCATAAGAATGCGAAGAATAATGCTGATACTCATATTAAGGAGAAGAATGGGAAGCATAAACCGAACACTACTAACAATGATACTAAAAAGAAGAGGGAGCAACCGACGAGGATGAAGAGACGGAAGGGGGAGGAGGAGGAGGAGGAGGGAGGAGGGAGCAGGAGCAGGAGCAGGAGCAGGAGCAGGAGCAGGAGTAGGAGGAAATAGGCAGTGGAGGAGGAAGAAGACGACGACGCAGAAAAAACGAAGAACACACATACTAATGACTTACATGCATATTTTTTAGCGGTGATTACTTCTCTCTACTGCACTCGCTGGTCTAAGCGACTCGGATCCGAGATGGGAAGACAGAGCGGAGTTCGAACTCCGCAGTTAAACTTCACACATCATCCAGGCTTATACCGCTCCTTAAAGGGGTTGGGCGGGAGGGGAGCCCAGACGACTACTGAGTGACACGCTGAGGTGATGAGACCGACATCCCAAAATCCGCTAAGTCATTAATGTGCACGCACCCCCATGACTTACATGCATATTTTTTAGCGGTGATTACTTCTCTCTACTGCACTCGCTGGTCTAAGCGACTCGGGTCCGAGATGGGAAGACAGAGCGGAGTTCGAACTCCGCAGTTAAACTTCACACATCATCCCAAATCAGAAAACCCAAACCAGGTTCTGTTCTCACACTGATAGATACAGAGCACGAGGGACAGCCAGCAGCGTGAACGCCAGGGCTCTCTGGAACCTCTTTGGGATCTGGTGGGCGGGGCGAAGCAAAAAGAGGTGGGGCTGGTGGCTGTCACGGGAACGCTTGCCAAGGCACGCCAGGCCAAGGCGAGAACAGTCGGCAGACTGTCTATTGAAACTGTACGAGACAGTCGGGAATCTGCCGCGACCTCCATATCTGCACATGTGCGAAACCTGACAGAGAACACCCTCAAATTCGCTAAACGCTCGGTCGACGTCTAAACTTAGCTTGGCACGGCACACAATCATAACTGGGAGCCCCAACTTCACAGCAAGGGTGATCAACGAACGAGCTCGCATCATCGTTTCCGAATCGGTTACTGAGACAAACAAGGCAGCAATGCGCGACTCCTGAAAATCTCGGCGCAGCGCGAGCAAGGAACCAAACGTCAGATCCCGCTCGGCCAGGCTTCTGGTCAAGAAACCCTGCCGCGTGACATGGTGCGGCTGCAGGAAAGCGTCGCCGACCATCAGCACGAAGAGACGACGTTCCCCTAACGGGAAATGGAAGCGGGCCTGGGCACCGTGAGGCCGTGCAGCAAGATCTCCACGAATCTTTCCTCGCACTGCTCGGCGTGGCTCTGGCGCCAGGCCGGGTGGCGAGCCCAAGTGCTGGCCAGGCGAGCTCCCTTCTCGTACCTCACCACCGACCGATCGGCTTTCCAGCCGCCCCTCTTCTTGACCTCGGCCAGGGTACGCCTGCGGGACGCCATGTCTGCGCTGGCGCCGCTGTGCCGAGCCTGGTACACCACCAGGTCGAAGCCGAGGTCCTTGGCGACCCTCGCCACTGTCGCCGCCAGCTTCGGATAGGTGAACGACCACACTCGACGGCCCGCAGGCAAACTTTTCAGCGTCGTGAGCATCGGAGAGAGGCGGGACCACCAGGCGTGGTCGAGCTCGATAGTCACGTCGAACTCCTTCGCCTTGGACGGGACCCCCTCGGGCTCGGGGTTGAGCTGGACCGTCCAGAAGGTCGCCACCCGCGAAGGCGGGTACAGGTATTCGGGCTTCAGGGCCATCAGCTGGATGGGCCTGGCGTAGGTGCTCCACATCAGGCAGATGAACAGCGCCATGTCGAAGCGGCCCAGCAGCACCAGCCCGTTCACGATGGCACACCAGATGGGCCACGCCTCGGGCAAGCGAGATGTGGACGGGCAGAGGTTCTGCCAGCCCTTGAGCGCCCTCCAGCTGCGTGACAAGGTGTGGGGTCCGTTCTTGCCCACTCTCGGCTGGCCGTGAACCACGCCAGCGATCAGCTTCATCCCGCGAGCAGCCGAGACGCCCCGACGGATCTGCTGGTCCATGTAACTCACCAGCAGGTCGTCCAGGTCCGTGATCGGGATGTCGGTCAGCTTCTCGGCGTTCGCAAACGTCCTGAACGCAGCCACCTCTTGGGCGTACTGGGCCTCCGTTCTCGGCCTCACGGCGGCGTGTTCTCCCGCTGTGAGGTGGGCAAAGTCGGGCAGCGTCCTGGCCGACAGGAGGGTCTCGAGGGCCTTCTTGGCCCGCGGCGGAGGCGTACGAGTACGAGTGGTCGCACCTGGCCTTGGCTCGACGTCGGGCTCGCTCTCCGAGCTCGAAGGAGCCTCCGTGTCCAGCCCACGCTGATGGCGGCGCCGCAGCTCCGACAGCAGCTGCGCGACCTCGTCGTCCGAGATCTCCCACAGGCCCGCTGCCGTCTTTAGCGCCTGGGCCCCCGCCTCGTTGTTTGCCCACGGTACACGGGAAGTGCGCGGCCGTGAGACGGATGCGACATCCGTCGACGGGAGCCGACGCTTCCTCACAGGATTCGCCAGTGCGACATCGCTGCGAGGCTGAGAGGAAGCCAGAGTGCGGGTGCGCTCGGCTGTAGTCGCTTTTGGGAGAATCATGTAAGTCGGGTTGAGCCAAAACGGCTACGGAAGAAGGACCGAGGCGAGAGCCAGCGGGAGAGGACGTCTCATCCGCTTCCGAACCCTTCTGAGGCTCGTCGCCAGCACAGGGCTCCACCCGAGAGGGGCTCGCAGCAACAGGCGGAAAACCGTCGTGGGGGGCGTGCCCTATCGGATCGGGGTGGTCTTTTCCATCAACCTCCTTCGACAGAAAATGAGACTTGGGCTGAAAGGGACGAGACGGGGCATCAGCAGGATTCTTTTCCGACGGCACCCACCGCACCGAGAGACGAACGTTGCGGCTGAGACACCGCGCTGCCATCCTCCTCAGGATGACGAGAACCTTGAAGTTCCGACACCTCCACCTGCCCACTGAGAGCACCAGGCCGAGGTTGTCGGCAAAAAGAACCTGGCGAATGTTGCGGCCAAAACGTGTGCGGGTCACGCGCTCGAGCCCGCGGAGCAGCGCCCTAGCCTCCAGCACTAAGATGTCCTCCTCGCCCGAGAAAGGCCAGCCGCCGATGGTCCTCCAGGACGTGCTCTCCAGCATAGGCGAGGGCACCTCCGCGAAGGTGGGGTCGGCCATCAGGCCGCTCGTCCCGCAGGCATCCCACAGGTCCGAAGGCTCGGCGGGTATAGAGGTCGCCGGCTGGGCCTCTCCAAGAGCGGCGGCCCGAGCGGCGACGTGGTCAGGGTCGAGGTAGCGATCGCGCTCACGAACACGACCCACTGCCGCAGCCTCGTCGGCTCCAACCCAGCGGCTGCAAAGTCCGTAGCCCCACTCGGAGGCGTCCGAGGCCACGATCATGGGGTTCCAGTCCGCTTCCCAGTCGGACACGAGCAGGACCATGAGCCCAGCGAACGTGCGTAGCTCGTCCGCGGCCGACGGCCAGAGGGCGACGGGCTGGTCGTAGTGAGCCCTGATGAAAGGGTAGACGGTGGTGAACACCGACAGCGTCTCGCGCCGCAGCAGGCCGCAGAAGGTGGCGTGGCCGAGGATGGCCTTCACCTGCTGACCCGCCACCCGCCGGCGGCTGGTGAGGGCCAGGATGGCCCCTCGCACCCTCCAGAAGCGCTTGGCGGTGAGGCGGGTGTGCCGCCTGCGGCCGTCCAGCAGAACGCCCAGCGCCTCCGCCCCCTCGTCGGAGACGTCGACCCCGTGCACCGCCAGCCCGCGAGACTCGAACGCAGAGACCACGTCCTCGAGCTTCGAGGCCGCGATGCGGCCGTCGGCGCCGAACGCCCCGATGTTGTCCACGTAGATGTAGTGGCGCGTCGCAGTGGCGCCCGCTCCCCGCATCGAGAGCGCGAGCGGCTGGCCACGGTCGCGCAGCAGCTCAGCTCGAGGAAGAACCTGGCTGGCGGCCTCCTCGTCGATGTCCTGGGCGAAGAAGAGGCTCCAGGCGAAGCCCATGGGGAGGCAGCTCGGCATCGGCGTGACCCAGTCGTCGGGCGCGAGGGGGCCGTCCTCACAAGAAGTCAGCCCTACGTCTCGAGCTCGCGCACGGGGCAAGCCGAACCAGCGAGACAGCCACATCGGCATGCCCATCCTGTGGAACGCGTCCTGCACGTCAGCTGTGCCACAGTAGAGAGATGAGAAGTCCTGGTCGTCGGGAAGCTCGACCTCTATACGGCCCAAGCCCTCGGCCGTCAAAAGGTCGACGCGCGGCGGCGGTCGAAACCACCGATTGGTCCGCCGCGCGTCGAGGATAAGTCGGAGCTTCCCACTCTTTTTTCGAACGAAGAAAAGTCCTGTGCGCTCATGCGCCCACTTGCCGAAGACCAGCATGTTCCTGGCCTTCAGGTCGCGCACGAAGCGGGCGTAGAGCTTCGGGCTGTTGGCGAGCTGGGGATCAACATAACACCGATCAGCGTCGCCAGCCAACGTGTCACTAGCACTGGGATCGAGCATGCGCTCTCCTGCACCCTCCAGGTAGGCACGGTCGCGGTCCCCCACCAGGTCGAAGACGGACGACACCGCATCGCGCTTCCCAGGCAGGGAGACCCGACCTCGCTGGTACGGCGCGAGCGTAGTCATAGAGGCGTCCATCCTGTAGCCAGACGCCTTGTCACAGAGCAGCTCCCGAAGGGCCACTTCTGGCGGCAAGTAGTACTCATGGCCACCGTCGCGCACCTGAAGCGCAGCCAGCTGCTCCACGTAGGACAGCACCTCGTCGCGCTCGCGAATCACCTGGCACTGGCCGAGCTCCGCAACATGTTGAGGCCGCCCGCGGAGATCAGGAAGTCGGTGGTCATCGGTCTTAGCAAGCCAATTAAGTGCATTTGAAGCGCCCTCGACGAGTTGCCGCACGTGGTCACGTCTGCGGTATCTCTTCGACCGACGCCCTCCCGAAGTCGGCGCAGACTCCAAAGGCGGCAGCGCGATCGGGAACTGGTCAAAAAGCTTGGGGCGTCCTCCCGCCCGAAAATCCCCCACTCTCAGCGGGCCGCGGCATGGAGGGCCAATCCGCGACCCGTCGTCTAGGTCACCCGCCATCGGGGGCGGCCGCATCGCCTCTGCCGCGGCCCCCCCGTCCTGCCCCAGCACCGCGGCCACGGCCGCCGTCGCCACGGCCCGCAGCGCCCGACGGGGCGGCGCTCGGGTCGGCGCCGTCCGCGGGCCGCGGATGGCGCGAACGAGCCTGCTCCAGCTCGTTCTGGTCCTTCACCTTGGTCAGGCCCCACTTGCGCAAGGCGGGGGCGATGGCGTCGATCGAGTTGGCCTCGCCCTCGTAAACGCCTGCCATCTTCCAGCTGGGGACACCCCCGCCTGTCGCGTAGGCGTCGATCACCCCGCAGATGCGTCTCGTCAACTTCTCGATGCCAGCGGAGGCACCCAAGTTGAGCTGGTCGTACTCGCCGAACAACTTCGGGCTCTCCGTGAGGTTCGTCATCTCGTGGTAGACCCTGTCCGTCTTGCTGATGCTGTGGTCCCGTGCAAAGCCCTGCCACCAGCGCCGTGGGTCACCGCCGTACCGCTCGATGAACCGCGCGAGGTGGAGCGTGCCAGGCGGGCCCTGCACCTCCACGGCCGTGATGGGCTCCTCGCGGCTCTCCTGCACGGCCTTCTTGAAGGACTTGAAACGGTTCCCAGACTCGTCGTAGTCGACCCACGAAGTCCTGACGTCGTCGTCGGCCTCGATGGGGGGAGTCTTCGTGCCGCCGATCGCCAGGGCCCCAGCAGGCGGCTCAGCAGCCGCCGACGTGCTGCGAGCCTTGAGGCGGGCAACGAAGTCGACGCACTCGCTTGAAGGCACCGAGCGAACCCTCAAGAACCCGCCGTGCCGATGCACCAGTCCATCGCGGCTAGTGATGGCGATGTCGCCAGGCCTCAAAGTGACCTCCAGCCCGAGGGTCTCGTGCTCGTCGGAGTTCTCGCACACAATCCAGACACGACCCCCGGCGGGCTCCTCGCGCGCACGCAAAAGACCGAAAGGGTCCTCAGTGGCGTCGCGCACAGCGCCCAGGGCGACCGCGCCAGCGGGCCCCACGGAAGCCCCAGCGCCGTCGGCGTCGCCGTCCAAGGCCACAAGGCCGCCAGCGGCGGCCACGCCCCCAGGGGCCTCGGGCCCCCCCGCAGGCAAGGGCGCGGGGCCGCCCAGGCGGCGCCGCCTGCCCACGCCAGCCAGCGCCCTGCGAGAGCCCTCGTGGTCGATGTAGTGAGTCATCGACAGCGGCTCCTCACCAGCGGCCCTGATCTGGTCGACCTGGGCTCTGGCCCAGTCCACGATCTGCTGGCTGCTCGGATAGCGGTCTCCAGCGAAGCGGTAAAATCTTCCTCGCAGGCCCGCTGGACAATTGCCCATGTCGTCCAGGAGGGCGATGGCTTCGCCTTCGTCGCCCTCCATGGTCATGTCTTCGTCGTACTTGTCGTGATCGGGCGTCAGCACCTCCCAGCGACTCACTCGGCCGAGTAAGTCGCGAGCGCACGGGCCGAGGACCACCCTCTCATGGTAGAGGTCCTCTCCTGGGTACTTGACCGCCACGAGGCGGCCAGGGAGGAGCTCATTCAAGAACTCCCGCACCGTAAGACGCTCGCCTGTGGCCCCGAGTCGCGCGGCCCGCGGCGCCACCGCGAGCGCCATCCCGTCGACAGCAGCAGCGCTGGCCGAAGAAGGTCACCCCGTGGATGAGCTGTCCGAAGCCGAAGAAACCCACGCCGCCCGCGAAGAGGGCGAAGTCCTTCCTCACGCTGTTGCACTGAACCTCGCACACGCAGCGATCAGCCACGAGCTGCTGCGCGATCTCCTCCACGATGCCAGGGTGGGCCCAGCTCACGGGGCAGATAACGTCGTCCTGCACAGGCGGGGCGGGAGACGGTACCAGAGCCTCCGCGCGGCACCAGTCGGCGTCGCCGCCGTCCCAGGGCGGCCGACGCGCGAAGTGGCCCCGCACCACAAAGGTCAGGAAAGCGAGGAACGCTCCCGCCACACCCTGCATGCGGCGAAAACTCTGGAGCCCAGACGACTACTGAGTGACACGCTGAGGTGATGAGACCGACATCCCAAAACCCGCTAAGTCATTAATGTGCACGCACCCCCATGATACTAACAATGCTGATGCTACGAATAAGACTACTAGTAGTATTAGTAGTAGTAGTAGTAGTAGTAGTAGTAGTAGTAGTAGTAGTAGTAGTAGTAGTAGTAGTAGTAGTAGTAGTAGCCGTGCAGCAGCAGCAGCAGCAGCAGTAGTAGTAGTAGTAGTAGTAGTAGTAGTAGTAGTAGTAGTAGTAGTAGTAGTAGTAGTAGTAGTAGTAGTAGTAGTAGTAGTAGTAGTAGTAGTAGTAGTAGTAGTAGTAGTAGTAGTAGTAGTAGTAGTAGTAGTAGTAGTAGTAGTAGTAGTCGTAGTAGTAGTAGTAGTAGTAGTAGTAGTAGTAGTAGTAGTAGTAGTAGTAGTAGTAGTAGTAGTAGTAGTAGTAGTAGTAGTAGTAGTAGTAGTAGTAGTAGTAGTAGTAGTAGTAGTAGTAGTAGTAGTAGTAGTAGTAGTAGTAGTAGTAGTAGTAGTAGTAGTAGTAGTAGTAGTAGTAGCAGTAGTAGTAGTAGTAGTAGTAGTAGTAGTAGTAGTAGTAGTAGTAGTAGTAGTAGTAGTAGTAGTAGTAGTAGTAGTAGTAGTAGTAGTAGTAGTAGTAGTAGTAGTAGTAGTAGTAGTAGTGGTGATAATACGCATAGTAATGATATTGGTAATACCAAGAATCACACTTATTTTACTACTATTCAGCGTAACGCTAATAAACCTAATCATATGACTAATGGTCGCACGACGAACCTTACAAATATGCGAAGAAACCGAAGACGACTACGCAGACGACTACTATTAATAAAATAATTATTCACTGCGTGGAGCTCCCCATATGTGCATCTACTCGCATGGACCTGTCCGCCGTGAATGTCTAGGCGCAGGAGCTTTCGAATATTAACAGGCTTCAGTTGTGACGGTCTGGACATCAATCTAACTGCGAATGAATTGGAGTGTGAATGAGCCTCAGTAGTACGAGCGCGTCTCTGTGCATGAGCCTGGGGCCTCCTGGGGCCTCCTGAAACCTACTGGGGCTTCCTGGGGTCTCCAGGAGCCTCTTGGGACCTCCTGGGACCTCCTAGGAAGGTTTCGTGCCCCAGGAGAGGCGCAATCTATAGCAACAGACGTACATAAAACATTGCGGATTAGAGCCGCAGGAGAAGGGCAATCTATAGGAACACGCGTAAAACACCAAGGACTCGTGCCCCAGGAGAGGCCCAATATATAGGAACATGAGTAAAACATTTAGGATTGTGTACACAGGAGAAGGACCATCTATAGAAACATACGTAGAACATCAAAGAATCGTGCTCCAGGTGAGGCCCAATCGATAGGAGCATACGTAAAACACATGGGATTGGAGCCACTCCTGTTGCCTTCTGAGGCCTCCTGCTCCTGGGGCCTCTCGGGGCCTCCTGTTGCCTTCCGAGGCCTCCTGGCGCTTCCTGTTGCCTCCTGGGGCCTCCTGTGGTTTCCTGAGGCCTTCTGGAGCTTCCTGGGGCCTCCTGGAGCCTCTTGGGACATCCTGTGGCCTCTTGAGTCTTTCTGTGGCCTCCTGATGCCTCCTGGTACCTCATGTGGTCTCCTGGGGCCTCCTGGAGTCTGGCCCACCTGGGGGGTGAAAATTAGCGCCTCGCTCGAGACATCCTCCAAATCTGCTCCGAAAGCGAAGGATTTGGGCCCAGAAACAAGCAAACCGCCTGAGACATCCCCACAAAATGGCCGCGAACGAGCCCGTGCAACCACCCCTGGCGGCTCCCCTTAGGGCCACGAGCCTGGCCACCAAAACAAGCAAACCGATCGAGACATCCTCAAAGTCTGGCCCACCTGGGGGGTGAAAATGAGCGCCTCGCTCGAGACATCCTCCAAATCTGCTCCGAAAGCGAAGGATGTTGGGCACAGAAACAAGCAAACCGCCTGAGACATCCCCACAAAATGGCCGCGAACGAGCCCGTGCAACCACCCCTGGCGGCTCCCCTTAGGGCCACGAGCCTGGCCACCAAAACAAGCAAACCGATCGAGACATCCTCAAAATCTGGCCCACCTGGGGGGTGAAAATGAGCGCCTCGCTCGAGACATCCTCCAAATCTGCTCCGAAAGCGAAGGATGTTGGCAAGACAAACAGGCAAACCGCCTGAGACATCCCCACAAAACGGCCGCGAACGGGACCGTGCAACACCCCTCGGCGGCTCCCCTTAGGGCCACGAGCCTGGCCACCAAAACAAGCAAACCGATCGAGACATCCTCAAAATCTGGCCCACCTGGGGGGTGAAAATGAGCGCCTCGCTCGAGACATCCTCCAAATCTGCTCCGAAAGCGAAGGATGTTGGCAGAAACAGGCAAACCGCCTGAGACATCCCCACAAAATGGCCGCGAACGAGCCCGTGCAACCACCCCTGGCGGCTCCCCTTAGGGCCACGAGCCTGGCCACCAAAACAAGCAAACCGATCGAGACATCCTCAAAATCTGGCCCACCTGGGGGGTGAAAATGAGCGCCTCGCTCGAGACATCCTCCAAATCTGCTCCGAAAGCGAAGGATGTTGGCAAGACAAACAGGCAAACCGCCTGAGACATCCCCACAAAACGGCCGCGAACGGGACCGTGCAACACCCCTCGGCGGCTCCCCTTAGGGGTGCTGAAACCAGCGCCCCGCCTGAGACATCCTCGCAATCTGCTGTTTATCGAATAAGTCAGACAATGAGAAGGTCTGAGTATGAGTAATTCTGAGTATGAGTAAGTCTGTGTATGAGGAACTCCGAGTAAAAGGAGGAGGAAAAGGAGGAAGTCTGAGTATGAGTAAGTCTGAGTATGAGTAGGTCTGGGTATGAGTAGGTCTGAGTATGAGTAAGTTAATGTGATCAGGTCTGAGTATGAGTGAGTCTGTGTATGAGTAAGTCTGTGTATGAGTAAGTCTGTGTATGAGTGAATCTGAGTATGAGTGAGTCTAAGTAGGAGGAGACGAGAAGAGGGGAGGAGGAGAAGAAGAAGGAGTAGGAGGCGTCCAAGTAATAACAAGAACCCCATCTTAGGATATGGGGAACAATGTTAGTAAAAACAGTAAGACGACTCATACACGAAACATCAGAATAATACTTCGAATGAGAAGAAGACGGGTCATACTAACACAGACAACGACGAACACGGAGAAGAGGAACACGAATATTAATAGCACTTGCCCATAATAATGATGATGGTGCTAGTAATAAAAAAGAAGAGGACGAAAACTATTAATCAGAAGACACAGAAGAAGGATGACAATCATAATATTAATAATAAACATAAGAAGAATACCAAGACGAATAGTAATACCAACAACAATACTAATACTAGGAAGAAGAAGAAGAGGCATACTAAGAAGCACAATAAGAAGACGACGGCGACGAGGAGGAGGAGGAGGAGGAAGAGGAGGGGGAGGGAGGAGGGAAGAGGAGCAAGAGCAGGAGCAGGAAAAGGAACAGGAGGAGGAGGAGGACAAGCATGAATATGAAGAAGAAGAGGAAGCAGACGAATACTAATAATACTAATGTTGGTTATATCACTAACACTACTAATGCTAACAATGCTATAGGTAATACTAATCATCACCATCATATTGCTCGTACTACTCGTAAACTAGTACTACTAATAGTACGAATAATACGAATGAGCATATTAATCGTACTACTAACATTTACAATGTTGGTAGTACTGCTAATACTACGAGTGATAGGAACTGTACTGATACTACTATAAATCGTAATCGTGCTAAGTAGTAGTCATGGCAATGCTCTAAGTAATAATGGTACTGATACCATTGATAGTGAACATAATAATCACAACAATAGGAGTACTACTACTAGTAAGAAGTAGCATACGAATAATGGTAATAAGAAAAACGAATCATAATAACCACACTGCTAAGACGACTAATAATAATACTACGACAAACAATACTACGAGGAGGAGGAGGAGGGAACTCGGAACTCGGAACTCGGGGATCCGCGAAAGACCGTCACTCGGGACGGCACTGCCGGGGGTGTGCAAGACATGATAATCTTGCAGACCAGAGGAGGCCCTTAGAAGGGCCACAACAAATGGTTAGGCATCCGACTCAATATATGGAATCCGAGTGCCGACTTGATTCAGCACGAGAGAGACCTAACACTGCACAGCATGTACATCCCTCCCCACAACACTCATCCTATCATCCTCCATCCGTCTCACTATACCAATACCAACAACACAGACAACGAAGAAGCTAGCCTGCGCCTCCTGTGATGGCGGTCTTGAACCACCTGTGGAGATCTGCCTGGACCTTCTCATGGACTGCAGCCGGTGGCGGCAGCTCGGGAGGTGGCCCAAACATATTTAAAGAAAACATAGGAAGCATCCTTCGTTCGGCCACTCTCTCCCTGCGCCGACGCACCGCTTCGGCCCTGTTGGCCGCGATCCTTGTAAGAACGGCCTCTGATAACGGAAGGGGAAGGGGTGGAGGGGGAACAGAGGGAACATGACGCGAGTCAGGAATCTCTTGAGAGCTCCCTGGGGTCTCTGGCGTGGGCTCCCTGGCGAATGACATAGCAACAGAGTGACTGTCCAGATCATTCTCACGTGCCTCGCTCAAGTCCCTATCAGCGCCACGAATCGACCTAATCCTAGAATATGTTGACTGCTTCCTATCGGATCTGGGAAACGCGGGCCCATACAAGGAGCCTCGGAAACTATAGAGTGGAAACAAAAACAATTTTGAGCCGCTCGCACTGATCACTGTCATTCTCCTCGCATAATCCAATATTCGGGAGAACCGTGTCCAGCATGGCTTTCGCTAAAACATCACACAAATCTGCAGGGTACACTTTTTTTCTTGAGGTACGGAAGGAGCCGTCGGCCCTTGTGCCCAACAAGACATCATGGGCTCTTGGACCGTGGCTACACTTACC